TCTAGGTAAGCAATGTCTACTGCACCATCCTGATCTATAATTTTAGTTACCCAATCAAAAAAATCAATAAGATTAGTTTGGCATGATCTCCCTGAAGTAAACCCATGTTGTCTCTGATCTTGAAATCCATGTGTTTTAGATGTTCATCAATCCTATCCTTTAACATGGTTTCCATCACTTTCCCCACTATTGAAGTAAGGCTTACTGGCCTATAGTTGCCCGACTCCTCCCTATTACCTTTCTTGTAAATGGGCACAACATTCGCTAACTTCCAATCTTCTGGGACTACTCCTGTTAACAATGATTGGTTAAATAAATCTGTTAATGGTTTTGCTAGTACACCACTAAGCTCTTTTTAATAGCTTTGGGTGTATTCCATCAGGTCCCATTGACTTATTTGTCTTTACTTTTGACAGTTGAAATAGAACCTCTTCCTCTGTAAACTCACGTGTAATAAATGACTCATTTATCCTTTTTCTCAACTGAGGTCCCTTTCCTTCATTTTCTTCTGTAAATACAGAACAAAATATTCATTGAGGCAGTCAGCCTGACCTTTATCCTCTTCTACATACCTTCCTTCTTTTGTTTTTAATCTAACTAATCCTTGTTTTACTTTTCTTTTCTCATTTATGTATCTAAAAAATGTTTTATCCCCCTTTTTTACTGACTGTGCTATTTTCTCTTCTGTGTGTGATTTGGAAGCTCTTATAACTTGCTTAGCCTCTTTCTGCCTAATCTTATAGATCATTCTGTCTCCCTCACTCTGGGTTTTTTTATAATTCCTAAATGCTAACTTTTTGTTTTTAACTATTTTGGCCACATCTGCGGAGTACCACAGTGGTTTCTTGAATTTTTTGCTTTTACTGACAAAGGATCAATACATGTGACATTAATTGCACAATATATAAATTACACACATATAAATATATTTATAATATATGCATATATACAGTTATACATAGTGTTTATATTCCATAGGCTTACATACGCTTATTACTTATTGAGTCTTGCTTTCTCATCTTTAATTTATGAAGTTCCAACATATTTCAATATGCACATACAAACACAGCAGGTTTTAATGGGGAACTGCCACTTCCAAGTACTTTTAATACCATGTTTACTTATCACTAAGTTTAAACAAATATGTATTTGTAAAGTGTGAAAAATAAAATTAAATATAGAAATATCTTTATCCTGCAACTGGGCGCCTCCATCTTAGCTCCTTACCAGTTATTGTTACAAAGTTAATCCTTTGCATCAGTCAGTCAATATAGAAAAAGATTACAGAGAAAAGGAGAAATTAAACAATGTTTCTATTGGTCATTTTCATTCACAACACATGCCCTGTCTTTGCCTTCACTCTCCTGGATATACTAAATTGTGAAAGTGAGTGTATAGCCCTGAAAATAAGTGTTTTTTTAGGGGTTTGTAAGTTCCCTATAATAATGTAATGCCTCTCCAGCTCCCTTTTCTCTGTGAAAGTGAATTTATTAAGAGATTAATTACTTTGTTTTCAGCACCAAGACTCCTCTGCTTCAGCCTCACGCTCCCCTCGGTTGATATCAGTATCCTTACTCATGTCACCTGCGATCTCGTCCAATCCATTGTTTCTGAAGAATTTGGGACGAGAACGTATGTGCAGCAAAACACTGTAGTCCTACAATCAAATGTTGCTATAGGAAGCATTTGATTGCAGAACTGACTGATTCTTAGTTAGTTCTGACTTGTCCATCAATTTTCTATGTCTGTGTAGGTTTGTGTTCCGTCCGTTTGAGGGTGTACTCGAGTAGAGAGAGGGGGATCAGTTAGGGAGAGAGGTCCAAGGAGGTATTGTGTGTTTGTCCAATAGAGTGGCAATTGGTCACCTGTCGAGTGCTCTTTCTTGGGTGGTACTCGAGACGAGTCTGATGTATTAGTGAGTTTGTCATTGTGCCCTGTGTGCCTCGCGGGCAGGCCTCCGAGGCGGCCGGGTCATTGTCCCAAGTGTCTTCTATTCGAGTCTTGTGCTATGGGGGGTTCCCGGGGTGGTGTCTCCCCTGATCTCTCCGTTGTTCCCTAATGCCAGTCCCCATGTACAAGTCCTTCCTTTCTAGGTTGGAGTTCTGTGTTCAACTGCGTGTCTTCCTCGTTTTGGGATGTATGTTACATCCTCATTTGTGGGATGGCTTGGGGGTGGGGTGGGGCGGGGGTCTAGGTGGTCTGGGAATGGGGGTTTAGGGTTGTAGCCCGCGTACCGCCTGGGACGCTGCGCCCTCTTGGTCCTATTGGGAGGGAGCCATGGATGATGTGGGGCTGGTGGTGTGGTTGTGGTGTGTATCTGAGGGAGTGTGTGTCGGTGGTCTGGATGTTCATTCTAGGGTTTTGTTATTATGTTTCAATTTGAGTGGCTTACCATGGTATGATTGTGTCTCCTTCTAGCCATGGGTCCCATATTTTGTGGTACTGTTTGGGTGTGTCTCGGATTTGTGCTGTAAGCTTGTCCATCTGTGAGCTTTCCACTATCTTTCTTGTGATCATTTCTTGTGTTGGGATACGGGTCGTGGACCAGAGCTCTGCTATAGCTCTGCGTGTTGCTAAGGTGATTTGGGCAATCAGCTTATTTTCGGCTCTTGTGAATGGTTCCATAGGTTTGAAGAGTAACATGGCCCAGAGGTCTGTGGGACAGGGTTTGTTCAGTATTTTGGTGATCAGTTGAGTAGTGCTTCGCCATAGTGGCCGGAGTTTTGAGCATGTCCACCAACAATGGAGAAATGTCCCCGTTTCACCACATTGTTTCCAGCAGGTGTTGAATGGGATGCGGTGCATGGTGGCTAGGCGTTGTGGCGTGAGTTACCAGCGGAACAGCATTTTATACGCTTATTCCGTGTGTGTAACGCAAATGGAGATGGAGGCTGTCGCCTCCCATATGTCTGACGAGTCTGTTGCGTCGTCTGGGGGGCAGAGATCCGCCTCCCATGCTTTTATGTATGGGAGGGAGATTTATGTGGGGTGGATAGCTATAGTCATGTCGATGTCTGATATTTGTCCCTGTCTGTTTGGGTGGGTTATACAATCGCTTTCGAATCTAGTGAGTGGGGCCGTGCCCGCTTGTCTGATTCTCTGGGTTGCTGCGAAACTGCATATTTGAATGTATATAAAGTAGTCAAATGTTGTGAGGGAGGATGCTTCTTTGATGTCTGTGAATTGTAAGATTTCGTTGACCTGGTACAGGTGTCCTATTCTTGAAATGTCTCTGTGTTCGAACTGAGAGAAGTGTTTGGGGGTGAGTCCTGGGGGGAACAATTTGTTCCTCCAGATTGGGGTCATGGGGGAAAGAAATGAGGACAGATCGTATTTGTCTTTCATTTTATTCCATAGGTCCAGCGCGTGAGTAATTGCGGGTGCGGTGGGCGGGGGTAGGGATCTGTGCGCTCTAGGTGTCCACATGTATAGGGACGGGTGGTCCCATCCAAATATCAGATGTTCTAGGTCCACCCAATGTTTCTTTTCAGGTTGTACATGCCATTGCTGTATCTGTGCTAGGTGTGCCGCCGAGTGGTAGTGTGTAAAATTCGGAAGGCCCAGACCTCCGCATTTCTTGGGCACGTATAGTGTGCTCCTGCATACCCTTGGCTTGCGTCCGTTACATATGATTGTATCGATTAACAATTGTAGGGCTTTGAAATCCGGTTTGTGGATCGGTATTGGGAGGGTTTGGACACATATAGGAATCTAGGGAGGAGGTTACTTTTAATGGAGGCGATGCGTTCCAGCCAGGAGATCCCCAAGGGTTTCCATTTAGTCAAGTCCATGTGTGCTTTGAGTAGTAGTGGGGTGTTATTCTTGGCGTATAGGGAGGATATGTCCACTGGGAGTTGGATCCACAGGTATGATATTGGCATATCCTCAATGGGAATGTTCGTCTGATCCTGTCTAGACTCGTAGAGTTTATCTGTATTGGGAGTAGTTCAGATTTGGTTAGGTTTAGCTTGTATCCCGAAAGTTCGGAGTATTCTTGTACTATGGTTAGGAAGGGGCTTAGTGATCGTTCTGGGTTGGTCAATGTCAGCAAGATGTCATCTTCATAAGCCGAGACCTTGAATGTCTCCCTTCGTACCATGATCCCTTCCACCCACTCGCTGGAACGCACCGCCTGGAATAAGGGCTCTAGGGAGAGGGCAAATAATAGGGGTGATAAGGGGCATCTTTGGCGCGTGCCATTTGTAATGGGGAACCGTGGTGGTGGTATATTGGGCAGTAGGAGTGCTCCTTGAGGGGCATGGTAGACTGCGTTTAGGAAGGACGTGAATTCCGGCGGTAGGCCTATGTGCGTTAGGGTTCTGTGCAAGAACGGCCATGTGAGGTGGTCAAAGGCCTTTTCTGCGTCAAGTGAGATGACTGCTGTTGGGATCCATCTATGGTTGGCTAACCATTTGAGATCTATGGCCCTTCTGGTGTTGTCTGCCGCCTGTCTGTGGGGGATGAATCCCACCTGATCTGAGTGAATGAATGATCCCAAGTACGGGTTTAGTCTATTAACCATGACCTTGGTCATGATTTTGAGGTCGACATTGAGTAGTGAGATTGGTCTGTAGTGGGCGGTCTCTAGGTGATCTTTTCCCGGCTTGGGTAGGAGTCAAATATGTGCGCTAGTCATTTCAGGTGGGAGGGTTTCCCCCCTTAGCGTTGCATTAAACACCTTGCAGAGGTGGGGTAATAGAATGGGGCTAAATTCTTTGTAGTATAGGGCCAAGTAGCCATCGGGTCCTGGGCTCTTGTTGAGTTTAAAGGATCCCAGGGCCAGTGCCATCTCCTTAACTGTGACCTCCTGTCCTATTGCGGATTTGGCCTCCTGGGACATAGAGGAGAGTGGTAAGTTCTGCAGGAACTTGTCTATGTGGGTGTGGAGGGAGTCTGCGTTGTGTTGGGGTTGTCGGGTGTGGTTGTAGAGTTCGGTATAGCATTCTTGGAAGACGTTACCGATTCGGGTTGGGCAGTCGCTAATGTCGCCTTCCTTAGCGCGTATAGATGAGATTCGTTTGGCTTCGATGCGTTTTTTAAGGTGGCGAGCTAGCATGGTGTCCGCCTTGTTCCCTTTTTCGTAGAATTTTTGTTTTAGCCACATCAGGGCCTTAGAGGTGTCTGCCTGCGTGAGGCTTTTTAATAGGTCCCTGAGTGCTGTTAGTTCGGTCAGTGTGGTAGGTTGAGCGTGTCTTTTGTGTATGGTTTCTAGACGGCGTAGTTCCGTCATCGTGATTTGCTGTCGTGCGCATCTTCTTCTTGTGTGTGGCCAGGCTAATGATAGTTCCCCTAATGACCGTTTTATGGGTGGTCCATAGTGACATGGGTGTGGTAGCCGTGGGTGTGTCTTTTATTGCCCGAGCTACCTTGTCTCTGATGAGTTTGTCCTGCAGTAGGAGTGATTTTAATTGCCAGTTCCATTGTTTATGGATTGTCGGTAGGGTCAGAGTGATTGCTATCTCAGCATGGTCGGACCATGAGATAGAGCCTATGCCTGATTTGATGACCTGAGGCACTAGATGTGGTGATATTAGGAAGTGATCTATGCGTGAGTATGATCTATGTGGGTGCGAATAGAATGTGTAGTCTCTAGTTGATGGATGGTGTGCTCTCCAGATGTCTATTAGGTTTTGTGAGGTCAAGAATTGGGAGAAGAGGGTGTCGTTCTGGGATGGGCGGTTGTTCTGTCAATGGCGGGTGTGTGGACAGCATTGCAGTCCCCTCCCACTATGAGGTGCGTGGTAGAATAGGTGTTGAGGTGGGTTCCTAGTTGTTTCCAGAACGATGCGTCTGGTGTTGTGGGTGCGTACTTAGAAGAGAAGGCATAAGCTATCGTGCCTATTTTCCCTTGTATTGTGACGTAGCGTCCCTGTGGGTCTGCGGTGTGGGTGATATCCGTTAGGGGGCAACCAGCCTTCAAGAGAATTGTGACTCCTTTTGTTTTAGAGTCTAGGGAGAGAGCCATGAAGCTCTTCATGTAGTGTCTGTTTGTGAGAGTGAATGCGCGGCGGGTCGTAAAGTGGGTCTCTTGGATAAGAAGTATGTCTATGTTTTGTTTGTGTGCCCATCTGAGGATGCTGTGTCTCTTGTTGGGTGAGTTCAACCCCTTCGCATTGATAGATACGCAGCGTAAGTTCGTTGGCATTGTGTTGGTGGTAGGCTTGTGTAGTCTGAATGTGGTAGGTGTGGGTTAATGTGGGTCGTGCGCCAAGGGCGGTCTCAGGCCGTGGGGGGGAGCAGAGGGGGGGTGTTAGAGGCCTCTTCCGGGTGGGAGAGGGAGAGGGGGGATTAGTGGATAAGGGTGGTGAGGATGGGGGCTCTCAGGGCCCTGTGAGCTCTATCTAATAATAGTTCTGCCGGTGAGGCCTCTGGAAGAAGGCCGGAGAATAATTCACGCAGGATTGAGGTTAGTGCGTCTTTCTCCACCGTTTCTGGAACGCCGCAAATTCGGATATTGTTGTGGCAGGAGCGATTGTTGAGGTCCTCTTGGGCCTCTTCCAGCTGGCGTACTTGGTCCTACAAGGCAGCTATGGCATTTTCATGTGCCATAGACCTCATGGAGGTCTGGTCTAGGCGCTCCTCAATGGCGGTCGTTCTGTGAGTTAGATCGCTGAGTCCTTCCCTGATAGGTGTAAGGTGCTTTGTGAATTCAGCTGTCATATTTAGTTTTATTTCTTGGAGTAGCTGTCTGAGGTCCTCTTTTGTGAGAGGCATTGAGGTGGCTGATCGGCTTGTATCACTTGCCGCCGAGTCAGAATCGTAGTAGCGGCCATCTTCAGCACGTGTGGAGCCTCCGTCCTTGTGGGTGCGGAATATCGGCGCCACCTCTGTTCCTTGTTTTTATTTTCGGCCTCCTCCCATATCTGGTCGGTTGTATGCAGTGATGGGAGTTTGGTCGACCGAGTGAGGGTAAGTATTATTGGGTTCAGGTGCTTATATAAGCTTTTTCTGTGCCTGCTGGTACGGAGCTCTAGAAGAAAGCAGCCATCCGTACCGGAAGTCAGGCACCGCCCCACAACACTTTATTGTTATAGGGGATTTTCAATGTTTTCGGGACATTACTTTTGAGCTTACAGGCAGAGCCAGTTTCACTTTTATAACAAGTTTCTATCAAGAATATTAGCAAATGCTACCACTGATCTGTGTTGGCGACTATGAAATTATACTTATATACTTAAGTAGTGGACCTGTCCTAATGTGGTCATTTTTGTTATAACATTCAAGGCTTTCTTTCCCAAGTACTTAATAGAACTTTTCCATTGGACCCTTGGCTCATTTTATTATGTAGACCTTGACAGTTTTTCTCATCACCTCCAAAAGCTGTATAATAAGATTAGCCAAAGTTCCCTGTATATGTCTGCTTGCCAATCCTCCCTCTTTGGTGGAGGTTATAACCAAGGTTCATGTTACATACTTTATGGAAAGAGTCACTACTATGGAGCATTATTGACCTTTTTATATGTGTCATATTTGGTTGGTTGTTACCATTGAGTAGGGGGTCATTGAGTGCAAGCATCACATCTTTTTTTCTGGAGTTCTATTCCCACCAATGACCTGTTGGGCCTTATTTATTTCTGTCTTAGATACAGTGCCATTGTGAAGTAGCACAAGGAAATGTTGGGTAGGCACACGTTCAGAGAAATGACCATGCCATAAGTCCAGAGATGACCATACTCCAATAGCAGCAAATAATAGAAGAATAGACTGGGCACAGGTCTAAAGTGCAGGCAGATTTACTGGTTGAAGAGCAGCAATTATTTAGCTCCTAACATCGCCTTTATCGAACTCTGTTAAAAGCTCTGTTAGGATCCAAAATGTTGCTACTCTTCATCCAATAAATCAACCTGCTCTTTAGACCCATGCCGGGTGTCTTCTTCTATTATTGTGTAGTATCACAACCTAGAAGGCTACAGTAATATTCGATTTTTCAAGCAACAATGAAAATGAAGGGATTGGAATATTTGCTAAACCTTTCAAGGTACATATAAGAGAACACATAAATAGGATCTGTGTCATAATATGATTACATATTGTTCCTAACAGGCAGTACCACTGATTTAATTTCTCCAGAAAAAAAACTAAACTGTTGGAATGCACCCAACATTCTTAACATAGAAGATGTCATCTGTGAACAATTCGTGTAAAGTCTATGAATTTATGTGTTCCGTAATGGTGTTTGTTCCATCAACCAGCCTGATGCTTAATTTTTACTTTAGTAGCCAGAAATAGCCAAGAATGGCCCCCAAATATCCTATCGCAAAGTAATATTACTGAAAAAGGACTTTAAAACCATTCTGCCTGTGTAGCAAAGTCAGCATATAATTAAGGTCTGAACATTATCCTCTTTTGTAGAAGGCAGATGTGTTCTGTTTTCTGGCTCATTTGTCGGATGGGGAGGTAAATATGGCCAATGGTGAATATTCATTTGTGTATCATTATTTCCAGCTGCAAGGATGCACTGTATTGTGTGAAGTATGATACCATTGGATCATATGTCAACTTCTTATGACCTCTTTGTATGGCAAATTGTGTATTTCCCCTGTGCCTAAAGCATCTAAACATAATAGTAAGCTTAATGTGTAGGGCTCACTGACACTGGAAATGTGTATTAAATGTACAACTAGTACTGCAGAAATAAAAAAAAAATATTATTATTGTACATAATATTGTATTTTATGCACATTGTAAATACTTACATATATGCAAGTATGTCACAAATATATTTTAGCAAATAGAAGAATATTTTTTCATGTATGCATCTATTTTTAAAAGCGTCTATTTAAATGACTCTACTTCTATTGCTTTCTACCTATTTTCCCAGTCTGAAACCATCACACTGCTGTGCAAAATCAACTTTATCAAGAATTAGCCATCTTTTACCCCTCATTGTTAGTACAGTACACATGCCTTAAATTCACATATATTGCGATACAGGGGGAGTACAGTATGATCTCGTCCCTCTGTCTGTAAATATGCTGCAATTTCTGGTACAAGAAGCAAATGTTTTTATTTGTTTTAGAGTGCGTGCTATGCTGTAATTCCTGACTCTTTAGTGCTGATGTGGCTGTTTAGGTCCCCGGTCCCCTCCATCAGTTTACCCACCTTTTCTCACACTTCGCAACGGTCTCACTGCGGCTGGCCCTGCTTGACTCTGCCACTGACTCCACCTTTTCTTTGAAAGGCAGCTTTCCTATGGGGATTCCAGCGACGCTGGAGGTCCTCATGCATAGCGCAAGGACGTCCAGCGTCGTTTAAAACACTTTCATATTTTAAGAACACAGAAGTCCCTCTAGTGGCTGTCTGATAGACAGCCACTAGAGGAGGACTGAACCCTGCATGGTAATTATTGGTAATAGTGATAAGTGGATGAGACAGCGCTAAACAACTCAAGGCAGCAACCCTTAAAGGGGAATCCCTCTAGATACCCTTAAAACAAGATAAGTAAAAGTAACAATAAAAAAGGCTGCGCCACATAAAATCAAAATAAGATAAAAACCAATAAAAGAGTCCAAATTCTGAGTCCTTACGGATATTCTTATTGGGAGGCTGGTAGGATGGTTGATTCTTCAAATATAATGGTGGGTCCTCTTATATGAAAGAGAGAAAAGACGGACAACCAATGGTGCAGTATATCAAGTCCAAATTGTGACGTATTGAGAGATAATAATGGAACACTCACATTTACAAGAGCTTTTGTCCAGCTCTGAGATAAGGCGCACACAGCGGTATGATCCCAGCTTATGGGATATATGTGGTAGGATATCTCTCCGTCAGGGATGATCAGTTCTCGGAAGGAAGAAGAGACAGCCAATAATGCTCACTGTATAGTGGTGATGGTATAAATTGAATAAAAAACGTACTTACAAATAGAGAGCAGGCAGTTTATAAAAACTGCAATAATTATACTCGCAGGGTTAAGGATGGTGGGAGTTGGCTTGGTGCCCGGATTGTCCCTTTAAGCTGTAGTGATTATGATAACTATACTGTCCCTTTAAATTATCCTGTACTCTGAATTGCTGAAATGGTCTGGATTTCGAGGGAACATATGTGGGTTCAAGGCTTCACTTTGGGAATCGACATCTGTTCATAGACTAGGGGAGACGACTGAGAAGATAATATATAAACATGTCTGAGCTATGAAATATTCGCTGTTTGTACCGTAAGCAAATTTCAGGAAACAGGTCTCTCTGTACAACTAATTCCATACAAGGCTTAATTAAGACATTGTCTTCACCT